TAATTAACCCTTAAAAAAAAAAAAAGTGCAAATCCTAAGTAAAAAAAAAAAATTCTACAAAAAGAAGGGGTTAAATTCCTGCCTTGTTTGTCTTTATTTGTATAATGTGTGTAAGTTAAGCATCATAGACACTTACACATTTTGGCCTTTTAAGTATTTGCAGAAATTCACTGACTTGGAAGGTTTTGTGTATATAATTCTGGTTTTATGCCCTAGAAATCAACAGAATTTTCTGTCTTGGAGAGTGAAAGAAAGAAGACAAAGGGTAAGAGAGCAAAAAGAAAAAAAGAAGAATTTCTAGATGTAGATGGAGAAATTGATTCCATCTTACTTAAAGAGAAAGGTGAGAAGTTATTTTTGGCATGCTGCTCCAAACAGAGATGGTATTTGACTGTGGAATCCGTTACTAGAGAAGTGTTTTCTGAGGTGCAGAGAAGTGACCTCAACGATTTTGTTAAGAAATTTAACCTTAATGTTGTACTAAAAAAATACTCCGGTCCTGTGTCTACTACCAAAAAATAATACTACTCCATGTACTTAGCTAATTGTTTAGGCTGAGTACTTTTTTGTTCGGTGTTAGCAACTACTGTTAGGCCATGTCTAAATTTGCATGACTTTTTCTCCTTAACAGTTAGAAGTAAAGTACGAGAGCTTTACCATCCTTCAGTGAAGTTTGAGGATGTAGGAGGCAATGATGAAACCTTAAAGGTTAGTTAAAATTTTATTTGTGGGATTCAGAATACACTGAATAAAATGTCGCATGAAAAATGACGACAAAAAAGAAATCTGGCAGAATTCATCTGCGTGACACTGAGAATAGCTGCTTATACCAACAGCAACAAAGTTTTTTGGTTTTTTTTCATTTGATTAATCTTTCTGAAAGCAGCCACTGAAATTACATTAATAAACATTTATTTTGGCCTGTCTATAATACCGATTTCCGCAATTTAAATTGAGGTCTCTCTTGTTCTTAACAGGAAGTATGCAAAATGCTCATTCATGTCCGTCATCCCGAAGTCTATAACCACGTAGGTGTGGTTCCACCTCGCGGTTTTCTTTTACATGGACCACCAGGATGTGGAAAGACACTACTTGCACAGGCAATTGCTGGGGTGAGACAGCTTTAAATTTACAGTTGCTTCTTTTTCTAAATTATACTTAGAGAAAAAAAAAATCCTCATTCATGATAGACTAGATCTTTTCCTCTTCTTTTTATCTCTTTTCTCTCCTTCCTGTCTTAGTCTAAAATATATTCATCTTCACTTCCTTTGTTTAAATTCCATCTGAATCTGTACTTGATAGAACCTCATATATGAAGAGGGGACATAGTGACAGGGTTTTATGTTTGACTTAATTGTTTTGAGGCATTCCCAGGACAGCAATATAGGCATGGGTATTGAGAAGGCTACAAATGAAAGATACTTTTGGTTAAATTTACCATAGTGTTTTATTTTAAGTCTGGATTCAACCTTACCTTCTTTTATGAGGCATTACATTGATTCTATTGGGTGGCATCCATTAAACAGTGATTTCTGAATTCCAAAACTGGATGTTGCCTTGCCTGTGTCAAACTAATGATTTCAGAGCATATGACATTATTGGTGTTAATAGTTTGGTGTGTGGTAGGGCTGCTGTGCTGCTATGTGCCTGTTTTGGATAGAAATCTAAGGGCTATTTAGGGCTATTCAGTGATAACCATGGACGTTTCTTTTTCTTTAATACAGTTGTTCCTTAAATGTCACAGATTATAACCTTAAATTTAGGTACATGTAAATTATGAACTTTTGTAGTGCAGATTTTATCTTTGAAAGAAAATATTGATATTTATTCCTTAAACGTTGGTTAGACCCTTCTGACATTGTTTCAACTGTTTTAATGAAAAAGATTTGGGTTTTTTCTTTTTAATGCCGTACTGTAAAAAGGTACCCAATGAATGAATCTGTGATATTTAATGCTTCAGTGCATATTTGTATCCTGGAAGGGTACTAAATTTGGGGAAAGAAACATGACACAAGTGAAAAACTTTCAGAGCGGAGATGATTTAAGAAGTAGTCACTAAATTTATTTTTCTTAAATAAGAGATTTTCAGTAGTGCTATTTAAGGCAAATAATCTCTTCCAATCCCCAGGTCGTGCCTCTGGTGGCTGTGATTTGTATAAATTAGGATTTTTTTTTTTTATATGAAGTTCAAAAAGCTTGAAATAGGCTGCAACTACCTGCAGCAATAGTGTGCTACTGTCTATCAAAGTTACAATTGTATTTATTTTTAATAGGAGAAAACCTTGAGTGTGAGCTTTACAGGTATCTTACTGTGCAGTCCTGCTCAGATATTTCTGGAGCAAGACTAAGGGAACCAAACCTGGTGGGGATCTCTTCCACACTGCTAAGCAGTGCTTTGTTACAGATGGAAATAGACAGTTTTCTCAAGGGAGCCCAAGCATGAACTGAAGTATATGTGTTGTGAAGGATTGGGTTGGGGACCGAGGCACAAAGCTATTTGACAGTGCAGTCGTTCTCTAACTGAATTAGGGAAGCTTGTTCTTTGTATCCATCTCTGTTTGGTTGGCCAAATGGCTCAGACCCATTTTAGACTGGAGGATGCTACTCATCTTTTTAAAAGCTCTTAAGATTTAGTCTTGATTACATAATATTTGGGTGTAAAAGATGTCGTATTGGAAAATATTAGTCCTCTAGGACAGCCAACGTTTCTAACCTCTGGATGTATCACACAACATTCATTGTCTCTTTCAGGAGCTTGAGCTCCCAATGCTGAAAGTGGCAGCGACGGAGATGGTGTCTGGAGTGTCTGGGGAATCTGAGCAGAAACTGAGAGAATTGTTTGAGCAGGCTGTGGTGAGGCGCCCATTGGAAATAACACTGTGAATTGTTTGTCCTTTTCTTTGTAAAGATTCATACTTTGTTGCTGTGTTTTGAATTTGAGTGAATATTAGTGAGTGAATCTTTATACTGCTGCACACAAGTCATAGTGTCTACCCTTCTGTGGCCAGAATTCCATTGTACTAAGTGTCATGCTGTCATAGAGCACAAAGATTACTATTTGTCAAGATTCTGAAATCTTGACAAAAGATAGTTCATCATATCAATGTAAAGGGAGCAACAAAAATTATTCACCTATTTGGAGCTGCTTGGCTTGATTTATAAAAATAAAAAAGATGTAAGAGCAGTTTACTGTGCTTTTTCGTTACAAGGGGGGGTTTTTTGCTGTTTTTTGTATAGCATGGATTTTGAGTGAATGCGAGGGACTTAAGACTTCAGGGTTTTAGGTACAAAGTAAGAAATTTTGGACAAATCGTAAGAGCAGGAGTCAAGTTACACTTGAAGTCTTGCTTTGGTGCAACTTTCAGACTTAGTAAGAAGGAAAGAGAACTAGACAGGTTGAGATATAATTTTAATTTGAACAAATGCAGATTTTCCTTTTTCAGTATGTGGCTAATGTTTTATTTCATGATGACCGTTTTCTGTTCCTGACCTCTCAGAACGTTCTGGTTTTCCAACTTTATTCTGTTGTTCTACTCTCCCCCACAACTGTATATAGGTGTTTAGAGTATGTTCCTGTATAAAAGGATGCTAAACGGGGCAAAAGGATTGATTGTGAAGCTCTTAGATTATTATGTTTCCGGTTCATACTACATTTTAATTTTTAGAAAGCCCTGTTAAGATGTTAATTAGAATAAAATTAAATAAATGATTGCACAGAGTTTTCAGAAATTACATGTCTTTTGTATGTATAGTGATTGAGGGGAGGTTGCTATAAAAATTATTTTTGAAAAAATGTATTGCGTAAAATCTGTTTAAAAATAGTCTATTGCCTTTCTTATAGTCCCTCACATTCACTTAAGTGGCTTTTCAACTTAGCTTTTGTACCAAATTTTTGTGCAGGGGATAAAAAAAAGAAATAGTTCCACTGTACCTTATGCCACGTACTGTGGAATCTTTATAGCTCAGTTGCATTTTTTTTTTCCTCTATCAGGTAGAGGAAAAGTGAATGACAACTAGATGGCGCAGTTGCTACCTGATAACACAGAATGCGTGGGTTTTAAAATACTTTTTTTATGGGACTTCTTCTGAAGACAATTCTAGTGTTTTCCTTATGTATTCATTTGCACTACTAGTGCTTTTTGAGGGTATTAATCTTATGTCAGTTAAACACTATTCTGTTACTTATTCTAATTATTATTCTATATTTGTGTTGGCTTTTTATGAACACAAAGTACATGGAATTTTAGAACGCTTGTTGGAGTTGCTCATTTTTACTCTTTGAACGTGGTCAGGCTCTGTAATAATCTTGAAGTTGGCAGATCATTTTTCATGACCACCTACTGCGCTTTTTGTTTCATTATGTGTGTAAGTAATACTAGATCTTGAAATTCCACAGCTCTAATGTCACTAACAAAACAAACAAACAAAAAACCCCAGACCTTTCTTGTCTGATTTTCTTTTTTGGACGTAAGCAAGTAAGCAGTGACAATGGAATATTTATGGAAAACATAAAGCAACATAGAGGTACACTTAAATTTTAAACAATAGATAGAGACATTTTGAATCTCATGCCTTAATTGTTTCATAGCCTCAGCTCAGCACAGTTTCATAGTCTGGCAGCTCTCCAGGTAGTCAATAAGAACAACAGAATTGTTCCAGGACAGGTTGGTTGTGCAGCAGACTTACAGTAATAATTACAGAACAGAAAATCTGAAAAACTTCTTTCTCTCTTGTAATACACTATGTCAGTGTAATTTTGTAATTATTAATATTTCTTGTTCCTAGTCCAGTGCACCATGTGTCCTTTTCATTGATGAGATTGATGCAATCACCCCAAAAAGAGAAGTTGCATCGAAGGACATGGAGCGGAGAATTGTTGCTCAGTTCCTAACTTGTATGGATGGTCAGTTTCAGGAACATCTGTACTAAGCTAAACTTTCTAATTATCAGGCTCACTGTCTGCTTTCCTTCAGTAGTGACTCGTGGTTACTTTAGTGGAGATAGTGGTAATAATTTTTCGTATTTTGGCACGGTTTACCTGGGTGGTGGTGGGAAGATTCTAATAAATTTGAGGGGATGTTACTACATTATTTTCAGTGGTCTGTACAGCATTATATAAGCCTGTCTGTTGTATAAACAGATGTAATGGGGAAAATGTCAAACGTCATTTGAAATGCTTATTTTTGCTTGATTGTGCAAAATGCAAATTCTAGTTAGTAGAAATAAGGATGAACAGCAGTCTAGTATGACTGTTGGTTAGTTTCTCTCTGCTGTTCTGAGGATTATTGTGTGCTGCAGAAACAGTCACACAGATATCAGAACAAAGTTGAGATGGTGAGTAGGAGTACTAACTTCCTTCCTTCCTTTAGACTTGAATAACGTGGCTGCCGCTACCCAGGTCCTTGTTATCGGAGCAACAAACAGACCTGACTCACTGGACCCTGCGCTGAGGCGAGCTGGGAGGTTTGATCGAGAAATTTGTTTAGGGATCCCAGATGAAGCAGCAAGAGAAAAGTATGTGTTATAAAGTTTAAGCTTCTTTTTGATTAATTAATAAATAAGGAAATAATGTGTAAGTTACATACAAATTAAGGAAAAGTACTTTATTGTGTTTAGTCCTATTTGTACCTGTACACACCTATGGGTCAGCACACACTGAGAAGTGCAGAAGACATTAAGTGTGCATCTAGTCTTTGTCTTGGTAGCTGTGTCTACATTTGGGGTGGTTTCCTTTCTTGTGTGCAGATCTGCTTTTAGCATTATGTTAATGGATTTTCAAATGCCTTAACAGTATAGATGGCGGAATTAAATACATCTTTTCTGTTGTTCAGGAAGTTAACATTCTGTCTTTAGTGCTCCCTATGTAACTATTAAATTAGGAACATAAATTAAGTATAGCCTGTTTGTTAGTCCTCTCAAGCACATACCTTAAGCAACAGGCCTAGATTCTTCATTCCATTCCTCGTGGAAATACACCAGTCCAGGCACTAAGCTGAGGTCATCCTGTTTTGTGTAATTGGCCCTTTTTACTCCAAAGATCCGTGACCATCAGACTAGATTAAAAAAAAAAAAAATTTTTTTGCTTTTCTAATTAAAAAGGAACTGCTACTCATTTCCACAACAGCAGAAAACACAGGAAGGGAAATGTGAAAACAGCTGTGGCTTATCTTGTTACGGGAAGGAAAGAAAGGTTAAAGGATAAGTTCCTTCTAGCTCAACTAATCTTATTTCTAGGTTGAAAAAGCAAACTGTTCTGCCTGCAGCATTGCTCACTCTGTGTTGTCACCACTACTGGCCATTATACCACCCTCCCCCCCGCCTCCTTCCCCCCCTCCCCTTCTGGCCATGCTTCCACTTTCCCTCCAGATCTGCAGCCCTGTAGTAATTATGTTCCTCTTGGTTGTGGGAAAACATGCAAGTGGTTAGAGGTAGAACTAAAGAGTTGACTGATGAGAGTTCTGATTCTATGATATTCTTAGGTTCATGTTAAAAATATAATATTCCCAGAAAGAGCACTGTTTCAAAGGATAGGAGTGGTGAATGAGAAAGCCGTCATAGTGTGTACAGATTATTCACAAGTTAGAGTGTAGTCACATTCGTTCATGTTATTGTTTTGTACAGTTGTTTGTATTTGTGTTCCTGGAGGTGTAGGCTTACAGGAACTGTTCATTTTATGTTCTTTTTTTTAAATTATGCCCGGCTTTTCTGTTTTGTTTTGGAGTTGCTTTTGTTGGGGGGGTGTTCCTTTCTTAAAATAAAAGTCATATAGAAACAGAAGTCCTTACAGTGTGCTGATTTACCACATGAGAAATCAGTCTTGCTGAAGGCATGATTTGAACTGCTTAGCTGTGGTTCTACAGCCTTAGCAGGGTGGAGTAGGATGAGGAGGTGTACTTGGAGATCTTGCTTTACTTGCAGTGCTTTCTTGTGCATGTATGAAGCACATGAAGGAAAATAATATATGTAGGACACCAGTTCAGAATGAGCCATTTACAGTTCTTAACTTTTTACACTTTGAGTCACTTGATTAGCTACAGCTGTTGTCAGACAGGTTGAAAAATTCTTGAGAACCAAGCTAATATCACTAATAAAGTTTTAAATGAGAGATGATGGAACTTGTTAGTGGGGGAGGGATTTCAGTTTTGAATAGTTTAATAACTTGTTCTTTTCATAACTTTTCTGTAGTTACATGATCTGAAAATAATTTAAACTAGTTTCCATTGGAACTAGAAAGTATGTTAATGATCTTCACTTCTTTGGTTTGTGCTGCCTATTTAAAATATTTTCCCAATGAAGTGATGTTTTGCTGTTTTGAACAAGTTGATTTGATCCCTCTGAGCAAAGGGATCAAATACCACAGTATTTGTGCGGTGACACTGGCTTTTGTCTTTCTTTTGAATATTCATGTAGTTTTCAGTTGTCCTTGGCTCAGAAGAACAGCAGGAAGTCTTGGTGGACCTTGAAGGAGGTTTTTAAAGCTTCAGCCTTGATACAGAGTGAAAAAACTCCCATTTGAAAAAAAAAGTGTGAAGCATAACACTTCACTGCAGTTACATAGAGCTGTTTTGTATTAGTGATGCAACCGCATAGGTAGGTGTAACTAGGTTTTGAATGAGGATGAGGTAACACACAAGGTGTACACAGAAGCTGTGTATTGCCTATTGGAAATTTTACTGGGGGTGCAGGAAATATCTGCAGTTATATTCCATCAACAATGGTAAGGGAAAGATACTGAAGATTAAAAGACAGCTCCTCACACAGTCTGATTTTATTTGCTCCTTGCAGAATAGTTTGTTGTGGATGTTCTTCAATAAATACATAAAAATGGGATGGAACGGACAGTGCAGACTAAGGTTAGGAATACAAGGTTAAATATCTCAGTGGATAACTTGTGTGCGTCTCTGTGGTACACTCTGAGATCTACTCTGTCGATTGTGAAATGTAAACTAAGGTTTAAAGAATCTATAATATGCAGGTTCACCAAAACTAGCTTTTACCCACTGATTGATATTGCTTGGTTGATGCTGTTGGTTTTCGTTTAAGAACTGAAAGGAAATACATAGCATAGTTTTGTGGGTTTCAGTGTTGATTACTTCCTAGTTGAGTGAAAACTGTTCCCACTATACTACTTCAGTTCATGTGGACTGAAAGAGACCTTAAATCAGTGCTGTTTGTTTTCATATGAAAATAAAAAAAGCCACAGCTTCATCTTTATTTTGTTGTTCTTTTTCTCCCTACTTGACTAGAATTCTTCGGACTTTGTGTCGAAAACTTAAGCTCCCGGAGTCCTTTGAATTTCGTCACTTAGCACGGCTGACTCCGGGTTATGTAGGTGCTGACCTGATGGCACTTTGTCGTGAGGCAGCTGTGTGCACAGTGAACAGGGTCCTGATAAAATCTGAGAAGCAGAAAAGGAAACACGTACACACTGGAGGAAACACAGCTGAAGAAAGCATGGGAATAGAAACAGACATCCTGGTGGAAGAGGATACCAAACAACTAGAACTTCCTCCTAAGGTATTTGCTCCTTAAAGCATGTGCCTCTAATATCTTAAGAATTGAGCCATTTTATAGTTGTGAAAGTCATCGCTCATAAATCCTTGAACATCTGTGGCCAATATAGTATTAAGTTTAGATTTAGAAATATTAGCTCCTAAGCCAGAAGCTTAACTCCTAATGACCCATATAATGGGTCTGAATAAGTGGCTCCCAAACCCCTCCCTTCTAAAAATCATGTTAATGTTTTATACAAGGCATGTTTTTTTCCTTGAGTTTTCAGTCGTTGTTGTTTGTGTTTGTGTTTTGTTTTTTCTGGCAGACCAGAGGTTACAATAGTGGCTATATCTCTCTTCAAAAGTGTGTTGACTGTAAGAGAATTGTAAGAATACCAGACTTGCACTGAGTTTTTACCAAGCTGTTTGCTGTGCCCTCAGTGAAATATCTATTATGATGATCTATTATTAACTGGTATACTTACAGTTAGCCAAAGTCTAGAAGTATTTATGTAGTCTACATTTTCCCGCCAGCAATGTGATTACTTGAGGTAAATCACATGTGGTGTCTGGTACCTATAGCAAGTTTGAGGAAGAGGTATCTATCCAGTAGAAAAGTTGGGTTAGCAATGTGACTTGAGCTGCAGAGAAAGTATCTGTTAATGTGCAGTACAGCTGGGATTCTGTTGCAGAAAATAGTATTTCTAGTGCCAGAATTATTCTGTGGCCCAAGTAACATGCTGCAGTCAGTGAACCAGAACATCATATATAGAAATTGTTGGCCCTACTTCTCAAAATTTGGAGTGTGTATGTGCCTTCATTATGTGTGGGCTTCCTAAAGATTTGTCTGGAAAAGTAAAACAAAGTGGGTTTAAATCCACATTGACAGTCCTTCTAAAACCAGAATCCGTGTACAAAGAAAACTGTTATTGTAATTAACAAAAAACAGTGTAAAAAGCTGTAGTAAGCCTTTGTATTAGAATAACATAATCATACTGCGTACCTCCCAGTGTTTCCTGGGGCCTTGTGTAGCCAAAAGAAAGCGGGGAGGGGCAGGTAGTTGCAGCTTTTATCAACATCACCATGATCAAAGGGGTTGTTGAGGATGAGGAAGTCTAATCCTAACAGAGCCATATTTTGATAGCTGGCAGGAGGTTGACATAGTCTAATACAGGGTATTGTCATTAAAACCGTTATATTATGTTTATAATGGAAAAATAAGCATACAAAAGCTTTAAAAATCATTCACACAATTCAAGTAAACAAACCCAGTGGTCTTGGCTATTTCAGAGTTTCTCTTAATGGTTCTGTTAAAAAGAGGAGGGAGGGCTTAAGAGGAGTATTAGGCACTATAAACACTTCTGTTTCTTTGTGGTCAGTTGTAGAGCTATCTTAGTTGCAAGAAATAGGAAGCGATACTTTTCCCATATACTGCTGTAGGAAAAATGGGGAAACTTAACAGAGTTTTTACAATATTTCTTTTTTTTTTTTCCCCCCTCCCTCCATCTTATAATGAAAATCCCGGTATAGTTTTACTTGTGGTGCAGTATCAGTTTGCTTTGATACTGCCTTTCCGTATTAGAACTGGGATGTATTTATGTTGTGAAGGTATAAAGTTCTTTGATCAAGTATTTGCTCAGATAGTTTCCCCAATAAGGAACTGATTGGGGAAATTGGAACGTACCTGCCTGGGGCGCTGTGGTCTGCAAGATGGGACAGTGTTGAAAAGCATTACCCTGTATCTCTATTCTGTTTTCCCAAACTTTA